CAATCTGTACAAAATCTATTACAATTCATCCAATCAACTTGTAAATCTTTGAAATGAGTGTCTAACACCCTGATTTCTCTGTCATTTAGAACAGCTTGCAGCTGATTACAAAAAATCAATTCCTCATTAAAGTCATCCTTACAGATGCATCTGCCATGTACCCATAACTGAAGAACCCCTGCTACAATTGCTGATTCAGCTAATCACAGTGCGACATTTTTGCATTCCAACATTTTTTCTGCAACTGATTTGTGAATGTCTTCCAACATATCTGGTCTTCTTTGGGCAGTTGTGGCAATTTAGAGGGGGACTGAATTCACTTTTCTGTCCCAGAAGAGAGGTGCACACGTCCTTTAGGCATGCTTTATTTAGCTGTTCTCCAACACAGGGAACTTTCCTTGCCTTAGAATCAAAATGAATGTACCTTGCTAAGATCTTTCTACTGCTGGGAAGGGCGCATTAATGAAAGACTTTACTAACATTTTTGTCTTAGTGGATGAGATAGTAACTAACCAACTGTAACAGATCATTCATACGTCACTCTGGGCAATGAATTTATCCCATACATTTTGCTATATAACACATTTAACCATTTGATATTTGTCCTAGTTTTATACTGCGTAAAACACATTATAATGAAAAGCACATTAGAAATGTAAATGCTGCATCTGTCAACCCATCTAACCTTTAATTGCCGATTCTCCTCAGCCAGCTTGTTCATCTCAGATTGCAGCCTCTTGCACTTCTCCAGCACTTTCTTAATCTCTGTATCGTCCAGTGAGGCAGCGACAGGTACCGCGGCAGCTGTTGCCTCAGGCTTCACGGAGTTCATCATCGGGGCAGCTTTGGTCGCCTCCACATCATTCTGCCCAACAAAAAGAGAAGCAGAATAACTGAGGTGATCCAGTGTGTGTTGAGCTAAGAAAAAAGGTTAGCCTGGAGATGGGAGCAAGTGCCAAAGAAAAGCAGCTTTATCTGAGGTCTAGAAGCTCACAGGGCCAGATCAAAGAGACCGGGGGGGGAAACGTCCCTCCAGAAGTCATCTTTGATGCCACTTGTTTTGTGGAACAGTCATGAAGACATCAGGAAATCGAGGGCTGCATTTTGGAAATACAAATACTGTAATGTGAATAAAAGCTCACCATCAATACAACTGCATGATGTTATTGTCATGGCTACAGTCCAAGGTAAGCATTTCTACACAGGCTCATTAAGGTTCAAATAAGCTTTGGGCAAATGATACAAAGAAAGCAAACACATGAGGGAATCCCATCGACAGGACCATGAGATGACACATTCAACACTGACCTTTTTACTCTTTAAAGATGAGTGTAGGCCTGTGACTTAAGTTATTAAGGGGGACCTTGTTTTAGTAATTTAGCCAACTCAAAAACACTAAAAAAGTATGTTTAAGCTGCCCAAAATCACCTTTACCCTACAAAAACAAACAAAAAAATATCAATTCTGATGGTGGGGTTTCTTACAGGATGTAAATGTCTCCATCCATAGGGCACAAAGGAGTCACTAAATAGATGAGTATGAAAACGGTGTGAATCATGTGTTATGGCTTTCGCTGTCACCCCATTTCAACCCAATTGAACTGCTGTGTTCAGAGTGTGACGAGTTCTGAGACTTGGACAATTTGGACAATGACAGTTCTGGCAGTCTGTGGTGGCCCAACACCTTACTAACACACTTAATGTTGGTTCTTTTTACTTGTCACCTGTCTGTACTTAACATTTTTCACATGACATGCATATACATGAGCCTCAGCAGCAAGCAGACACTGTGATAGATACTCAGCAGTCCACATGTCCACATTTGTAGCTGCTTAATCTAAGTTAAATGTGGCTGTTCTAGGTGGAATTTACACTTGAACTGGGGGCCTGCTGAACTGTCAAGTAGCACTGCTTATCTAAATCCTGATCATTCTGTGGCATCATTTATATAGGCGCCCAGTGCTCACCAACGTACCGGTTCAATAACGTGAATTCTATATGATGGAAAGCAATACAACAGCCTTGCAACACTGTTATACTGATATTAAATCGTTCCCATGGGCCCACATAATTTTTAAATGTCAGTGCCAAGCCTCAGCACAACAAAATAGGAATTACAATCCAATTTAACCCAGCCTCTTTGTGCATTTTTCAGCTATACCCCAACTGCTGTTGTTGCCAACATCCTTTGTTGACAGATTGTTTCGTGCCACCTTTGACGCACCTGAACGTACCAGATAGTTTGATGACACCAATGGTGAGGAGTTTCCTAATTGTCTTCTGGCAGTTTTCCAAAAACTGACAAATGTCAAAGTGTAATACAATTAAATACTTTAGGTGAGGCTTGAAAAGGAAACGGCTGATAATTTAGAGAGTGCAGCAGAAAGCCAGCAAGAAAAGTGCACATTAGTGTAAACAACAAAAACATACATGTTGTTTAAAAAAGTTGTTTCAAATCCCAAACCTGACATGAGCAGAAAAAATGAGCTGACAAGCACAACATCCTGAGCAAACTTGTTAGCTAGCTAGCCAACGATATGCTTTTGCTCAGACAGCTAAAAGCATTTTTTTCTGACATGCCTAAAAGTAATCATTGCTACCAACCGACTACTGTTATAATCTGAGGTTCACTCACACTGGTTGCAAAAGCGATTTTGTCCAACTTCTTTTTTTATACTGTTATTGTGTTGTAGAGATCTCACAGTTTGCTCTCAACAAAAGACAACAATGTCAAAAATATTATCCAGGTCAGGTTTTCAGGACATTTTACTATGTCTCTCAATTTCCACTTTTACAGAGTTTCCAGGACTGGACAATGGGTCTTAAGATTCCAAGTAAACCAGGTTGCATGAGACCCCTGGCAGAAGTATCTCTTACCACTTTATCGTTTTCAGAAGGCAGCTCGAAGACACATCTCAATTTCGAATCCATTAGATCGTCGGGTTTTGCATCTTTCCACTGGTGGAGATGAAAAATAGGCACATTATTCATGCACACACACTGCTAGCAGCTGGATTCCAGCCACACACATTGACAAATAAGGACACATACTATTCACATGCAATGTAGCCTTGGATCTATAGATACTACATAAACATTAAACATACACAGATTGATTTCTAAAACAGTTAGAACCTCAGTCTGATTACATTTTGCTGCACAAAATAGCCAACACCCTTTCCCACTGATATCAGGTGTGTATTTTAGTCATTTCCCCAACTTTTGAAAGTCCTCATGATGTACAGAACTGCTATGAGCAAAACAATGTACCTGCTATGCAATGGAAGAATTGTATCTGATAAATAATCATTCAGTTCCAGTCAACATATAAGGAATAGTCACACCTTTGTTCCCCTACACTTCCTGATATTTGAAACTCATTCAAGACAAGCCTGTTCATGAATACAACTGCAAGGTATGTGCATCTTTACTGGCTGACTGAGCCTTTGCTGCCCTCTAGTGGACAACTGCAAAATTCATCATAATTTGTTCAACATTTTTGCCAAAATGGCCTTATCAAGGTTCACAATGCAAGTAAGCAGAATGACAATCAACCCTGCCTAAGCCAAAGACCAAATTAGATTTTTTGTAAGAGTTGTAAACATAAGAAATTAGTTACATGAAGTAAATGCTGATCTTTCCAGGCCACAAGATTACCTCACATACAATAAACTGTGGTGAACTAACTTTGTGCTGCAGAGAAGTCCACTTTAACTCACCTGCTCTTATTATATCAAAGTAATCAATAAGTTTTATGTATTAATAACTGTGTTACCTGCTATCATTTTTTTATATATCTTCAGGCAAGGCAAAAGCTGAGTAATTAAATTCAGCAATATACAGTAATAAGCATCTAGCACAACACACGGTTGCAAACACTGTAGTCAAGCTCCCATTTTATATATCTAAATGACTGAAGAGATACTCAGCAACTAATAGTGCAGCAGTGTGCTTTTGGCACAAACACTTTAAACAGCTTTCATTGAAAAAGTAATGTAATATTACTTACCAATGAATCCATATCAGAAACATTTGGTGGAGCAAAAATCGTCTGCACCATGAATTTATGTTTGCTTTTCTCATTGGGGTCATAGTCAAAGGGCTGTAGCATGACTGTAAATGAAAGATTAGAACATCGTTACAACATGTTAAAACATATGAACAAAAGAATTTCTATACACAGTGAAATGACTGCCTACACATGCCAAATACTGAACTCTATAAATATAGCAGTGTGCAATAGTTGTAGGCATGAAAGTGGTAAATTTAAGATGTTTTGAAAAATGTCTCATTAATTAGCTTTGTTCAATGTGCAGTAATGAGAAAAACAACTTGACCATCCTTTCCCTTTAAACAGCACCAACTGTCCGTGGTTCACTTGCACAGTTTTGAAGGTACTTTGCAGGTAGCTTGTTGGAGCATCTTGCAGAACACACCACAGTTCCTCTGTGGATTTATCTTGTCTCAGGAATATCAATGTAAGTCTGACTCAATGTGGAGGTCAGAGCTGTGTGGGGGGCATACTATATGTTGCAGACTCTTTATTCTACTTGTGGATGAGGACAGTTCTCTATGATATGACTGTGTTAAAGCTTGGTGTCATGCTGCAGAATAACTCGGGGACTGATCACATACCTCTGTGAAGGCATTACGTGACTGAGAAGTGTCAACATTTAAAGTGCCTATAAAGCTTACATCATTTCTTTCCAAAGGTAATGAGGTGATGATCATCGTGTTTTTTCTGTGACTGGTAAATCCTGCCATCTCCACAACACTTTCAATGGGATGTTATTTACTTCCCAAATTAAATTTTGTGTATGAATTGCTCACTTTAAGTGACACTTTCAGTATTTAATTGTTTTAGAGCATCAATTAAATGGCGCCTCTGGTAGCCTTGATGGGTGCTGTTCTGCCAAACATAACAGCAGTTACAGTTATCATGAAATAATGCCACATATAATGCACTCAGTTGGTATCTTATTTCCAAGGCAGCTTCTTAATCACTTGACAACCAACAAATGGAAGCAATGCATTTGAATATTGTGGTAAATGTATGCGTTTGGAACACAATGAGCAAACAGACAAAAGTGAAGGAATTATGTAGCAGAGGTGATTAAAGGACATTTTAATACTTTTCCTCCCACATATTATCACTCAAGTACAATGCAGCTAAAATTAATGTACCTACAGCCAAAAGAAGAACTTAACTTTAAACAGCTACCATTTAAAAGAAAACAAGCAATATCATTTTCACTATAGTGACTTTAAATATTGCTAGAGATTATTGAGGTAACTGTCTTTAATAAGACAATGTGATGAGTCTTATTAATCAGTGTAGAGTACAATAGCCAGGAATTCATCAGCAGTAACCCAGAAAACGGAGGAGAAGCTTCAAACCCATTGAAGGGTCATATTTTAACCCAAACTGTGCAATTTTCCTGAATCAAGCCAAGTAATTATTTTGCCTCAACTTAACAGAGCTTCTAACAGGTAGTTATGCTTCTGGTAGGATAAACCAAAGTGTGATGTTTTCATCAACATTACCAAAAAGCATGTGAAAACACAAACGAAACAACAAGTGAAAACAAAAGTTAAGCCTAAGACTAATGGTTCCACAGGACTGAATCCTGGTTTCCAGGGTGAAAGTCCTGTTGTCCAGCTGACTTCTGCATCCATTCTCCCCTGACCTACTTAAAATGACTTTGTGGCTCATTCAAACTGGAGGCCTTTCCTACTGTGGATTGTGTGGATGCGTTTGAATGAAAACTGCTGCCACAAATCCAAGCTTGGATGTTTCACACCTCAGCTACAACTTAGTATGTGGGCTTGCTGACCTATGACCAAAGTATTCTACATCTCCCCGACCCACTTTCCATCCACTCTCTCTCTCTCTCTTTCTCTGCATATATCAGTGACAGCATTTTCTGGGCTTAAGCTGAATATACATGGAAAAAATACAATAAAAACTTACCAGAGATGTTGACAGCTGCTCCGGCATCAATGACACCACTATTTGGCCGTACACAGTACCTGCGCGGCGCTGTTGTCTTCACTTTAAAACACACTCTTCTGTCAGAAGGGTTCTTCAGTTTGAGGTTGGTGGTGACTACATCTGTGAAAGGACCTTGTGAACACAGAGCAACAAGCACAAGAACACTATTAATTTTGTATTTTGGAGTACACGCTCCTACACTTAGCAATGGTAAAGGTGAAAACATGAAAATAATCTGCGACTACATGAAACTGCAAAGGACTCAAGGATGAGACACAATTTGTCCAGTGAATCAGAAGACTTCATAATTCCAGACAGGAGAGGGTAAATAAGTTGAATTTTTGCATCCTAAAATTGCAGAGCCACTGCAGTTAGACGACTTCCCCAGAGAACAGATAGGCCTCTGTCTTTTGGTTCAAAAACACCTTAAAAGCTCAATTAGGCAACTCAATTAGACCTACGTGATTAAGAAGATTAAATTTTGGGGTTGTTGGCTTGGTACTGGACTGCAGAATAGTTCTCCTATAAATATTTTTAAAAATCGGGGCTCAACAAAGAAACTGTATTAGGTAATAAAACCGTATTTTAAAATATTTAATCAACTATACAGCCCTGATGGAGAAGGATTACAACCAACAAATGTAAAGTTTTGTGTAAGACCAGGAGTTACATGACCACACCAACTCGCTGCATATTTTTATCCAAAAACAACCGGTCCAACCACGTGGATCAATGACGTTTCTTCCCAGACTGCTAAATTCACATAGAGGTCCCATGGTGATTTTGGAAATTAAGGTCCTGCCCGTCTCAGGTCATATCAGGGAAGTTACAGTTAGAGTTTCACCTTGTGACAGAGCTGGCTTCAAATTAGATCCTTAACCGTGATCAGCATCATCCAGCTTTGATGTGCCATGTCATGCTGAAAACACCACGGGATGCTAACTCAGCGGTACCTCAAACTCAATCAGTGCAATTGGCCTGGGAGCCAGAAAAAAAAAATCAACAACACACATGTCCCAAGATGTGGGGTTTGCAAAAACCATTGTGTGGGTGCTACGTGTAAACTCTACAGATTTTGCCACACTATTCGCAAGTTGCCCATCTAGTGTTTAGATTGAAGTCACAAAGTCCCATAATATAAACCTGTGTTTTATGGAACCTGTCTCTGGTTATCACTGGCGACGTGCGTCAGGTGGTTGATTACAACCTTCTGATAAGCCTGAAAAGTTAGAACCCTTTGCTCCAAGGAAGGAACTCAAAATTAGTCAATCGTTTTTGACTGTGGGGTCACACCATCTCATTCTTGTAGAAAAGGTTTACAGGTTCACTTTTGCTTTTATGAAAGAAAACACCACAGTTTATCAACCTTTATCAATTTGGACAGAGCTGCAGTTCCCCAATTTCTGAACAAACACATTCCACTGCGTCATGCATCGCCAAACAAACAGTGCAAGTTGTCAATTCACAGTCATGAACAATCAAAATTCCCTAACTGGATTTATTATGGTGTTATTTTGATTTTGGATTGAGATATGAGGTTATACTCTGTTTCATCCTGGACATCTATTACATGTAGTTAAGTTTTCAATACTGCTAAATTATCAAGCTTAAACAAGTGACAATTTGTGTAAAATGATCAAATATTTTATCCAAAAACTGCCTAGTTCTTGTTTAAATAACAGTTAAAGTACAATACCACAAAGCAAACTCTGACATACCAGGTGTCTCTTATGCCCTGGTCTAAACTGGAAATAAATAAATGAATAAATAAATAAATGTGGTGACTTGTCCACAGTTCTGACCCTACCGCATTACTTTCTCTACATAAAAATGTGTGAAGTGACCAACAAGAACAACATTCAATATTCTTTCCTCTTTCAGTGGATTCCACAGCTTGGTTGGAGGTCAGCCGTTGACAAAGCCTACATTTAGTTTTCCCTCACACCAAGTGCTCAGAGAGATAAGAAGCAATGCGTGACCAGATTGGAGTGGCTCCACCCGACTAAAGCTAGCATGTAGAGTTATGGTCATGACTGGGGCGTTGTTTTCAACACAGGTACACAAAAGCATTCCTACAAACCTGAAATACTTCTTTACCAACACTGTGTCATATTTAATATTTTTCAAACACAGTCTGCTTCAAGCATCTTCGTTTTTTGTGTATCACTGCCAATAAGCAAGTTGCAAAAAAAATATGTGGTGCTGCATGAAATTACAACACCAGGGTTTTTTTTGTTTGTTTTTTTAAACAAAGGTGGGTACTAGATCTTTATGATAGTATGATAACCATACATGTTGTTACTCATGCTGCATGTTACATCTATCATTATTTCAGCTCTATTGTTTACTGTCATTTATTTCCACCTATGGTTTATAAGGCATTGAAAAGCAACATCAATAAGTCCAGCAATGTGAATGCAAACCAATGGTTTCCTAATATGGTATTTTTGAATGACTGAAAAATGAAGTAAAAGATTTGACACTGCTCAAAAGTAAATGGCAGGCATGAAAACAATAGCCTGTCAGATCAACAAGCATTCTTACTGACGTACTGCATTGCTGAAGTGGACACACAGGAAAACTGTTGTGGAAAATAAAGTCAACATTTCTGACTAGAGGTTGATTGATTATCAGTCTGGCTAGGCTGCTGTGATCAGTCTGCATAATTGATGACGAAGATACTGAAAATGAGTCAATATCAATATTTGTCACTGATACATAACTTCTATTGTTGTGTCATGAGGTGAGTCATTTTGAGCTCCAGTCATTGGTCAGCTGCAATCAGCGCCACAGTTTAAGATGACGGTGGCAGCTAAGTCCAACTTGGTTAAATGCAAGTCTCCAAAGCTCCCAGGCTGCAAAAGTACAGGAGTTGTTATCCCATACTTTATCACAGAACAAAAACATGGCTTGTACACTGAAGAGTTTCGATGGCATATCATAGCACCACAGCACAAAGCACTAACACCACAGGAGAAACACACAGGGGTTGTTCAGCTCTTTACATCTGTTCACTTCTCTGCTCATATACTGTAATTCAGACGAATTTCCAATAAAACATTCTTCATTTACAGATTTTTCCGTTTCTGCTGTTAGCCAATAAAATTTGACTGAAACACAGTTTATGAAGACACCATGTTAACCAGCAGTCGCTTCCAAGCTGCTGATCTGCACTGCTAGACTCCTGACTTTATCACAATGACGTCATCTGACAAATGTACCATACACAGAAGTTCAAGACGAGTGCTGAGGAGTGAATATTACTAAAGTCTGAGAGCATCTGCACAAAAAGGAGCGAAGGAGTTGCTTTAGTGTGTTTGTAAAATATCCATCATGTCCAGATCAAACTGCTTTTTGATAAGGAATCTGACAAAAACTTGGATTTCTCTTGGAGTTGCATGACTCATAGAAATAATAGGCCCTTTTATAAGTGAATGTATAGTTTTAAGTCAGTTATTTTGGGACTTATAGTTTAACTCTGCAGTTTTACACTTATATATATATATATACATTTATTTATTCTTTTTTTTTTAAGAGGAGAACTAGCCATCCGTAGTCAGTACTCTGTCACACCCACAGAACTATCTGATGGCCATGACTTATAGTCTATCAACATTAAATGAAGATAGTAAAGTTATTTTTAAATTAGGCACATGTAAAACCTAAATATTCAAAAGGATTTCAACAAAGTTTTGCATTAGTTTCTGCTACTCTAAATCCTGATGCCAAGATTTTTTATTTTTGCTGCAAATGTATATTGGTTATCGGCCTCCATGATCAGTAAGAACCATAATCAATATCAGCCCTGGAAGAACCATATAATTCGATCCTTAATCCTGACTCCATTTAATATTAACCTGTCTTCTCTTCTACAAAATGGAATGTTGACTGAGATACATTTCTACACTATGTGTGTTTAAATAATGTAATCATCACCAAATCCAAGACTGAAACACATGAAACATTGGAAAACAGTGCGCATGAGATATACGCCCACATAGCCTGGATCCATTGCCTAACTCTGAGATGCCACCTTTGCTCGAGCAGCGTTAGCACCGTCTCTCTCATCTTGTTGCATGTATGCTGAGTTAGGGTCCCCCAGGCCAGTCCTATTCTAAAAATACCATCCAAGGAAAGGAGGGCTGCCCCCTCTAGCTTGCTGGAGGAATCCCAGCAGAGGCTCTAAAACGGAGCAGCTCTCAGATACACACAGACCGATTTAGCTCCGTCTCTGTGATGGTAAAGGAGCTGTGGCCGTCTTCCTTCTCCTCATATTGCCTCTCAACGTCAGAACAGTAACCATTTCATTTACCTTTGTGTTCCTATCAGAATACTCTAAAACTTTAAAAATTAAGTTATCCTTTCTCTTGCAAATTAGCACTTTGGATTAGATTTTACCTCGGAAACCTCTAATATGATGCTGATTTACACCAAGACCAACAGCTAAGTTCAGTCGCGAAAGGCTTTATATACAAGGGGGTTAAATATTAGGACTATTCAGGTTGTACTAGAGAAGATGGTGTACTTCTGTAGCTGAAAATCAGCTTGCAAGTTATCTTCCTACTAAGAAGAAATGCCAATATATTTGCAACTGTTTTGCATTATGATTTACATTTCATATTAAGCCATTAAAATGGGCTTAAGATCGAGGCACCAGGATTTTCTTCCACATGTCTTAGATTGCACATTCTGGCCTCAGTGCAGGTCTGCATCAACATCACTACTGTCATAACATTAGAACATAGCTGTGTATTTACTGTGGTATATGAGGGGCAAAAGTTTAATCCTATCATGAAAAATAGAAACCATGCGAATGACGGGAATATCATTTCCAAACTGGGTAAATCACAATCAGTTTATGACAGACCACGTCTCTGCCATCAGAATTACTGCTCATATCAATGTGAGAAACAATAATTAATTTACGTATTTGTGTTTAACTCTTGTCCCCTTTCAAAAACACTATGGTCCAAAACAACCTGACTGAGAAAGCAGTGCAGCCAGAAACATATCTGCTGTTGGCTCTTGATCAAAAAGACTGAATAAGTAACCTTATCACCTTTAACCTGTTGCACAAATTAAATGCAACTTTAATCAGATGCTGAAGTTTAAAGTGAATAATACCAGTTATTACCTTTTACCCTGCTGGTTTGGATGCCAAAACAAATTGTGGTTATATTCAGCCTTATTCCCTTTTTGTTTAAAAAACATAATAATAATCATTTTGCAGAAAAGCTTTAAGGCACCAGCATAAATTCTGCATGTGTGCTGGTGAACACACTTTCTACAGTTTAGTAAAGTACATGGAATGTTTACGGGTTTGGGGCTCAGAATGAGGCATTTTTTTTGCTTCTTCTCAGCCATCAGCTATTAGCACTGATTAAGGTATGTGTAAACTATTGTGACTAGTGTCACATCAGACACCTCATCACCAAAACATGCTATAGCTACGCCCCACCCAAGACCAGTCTGTACGTCTGGTATTTGACTGACTACAACCAGTATTCACTCACAACCTTAAGACAATAAGCTGACAGATTCTTGGTTGTAGGACAATGATACCCTCAGCAACAAAAACAGTGCCTCATTCGCAATAATGCCTGCAGCAGAGGCACAGATAGTAACTGGGACAAATATAAGAAATGCAGGGGAGGAATTCTGGGTCAAAATGAAAAATGATGAAGATAAATAGTTCAGCTGTTGGTTTGTTTTACATTGCCATGGCCTTGGCAGAAAAGCTACATTGAAATCCGCACAGTACACAGTTTAGTGCGACCTCATTCACTTGATCACAAGAGCAACAGTTGGATTCACGCTAATGCCACAATTGTAGGCTATATCTGTGCGTTTCCTAAGTGATGGGTCAAAGTTAATATGTCTGCCACGCAGTTTGCTGTTGGAGAGCAGGTAACAATGTAGCTAGCTACACATAAACTTTTGCACTAGCCGGCTAGCTTAGCTATCGTTAGCCAACGGGTAACTGACACATCATGACATTATCACTACCAGGAAAGCAATCAGTGGCAACCCAGCGACTGGATCACTTAGGTTTCTTATTAGAGTGTTCTAGAAACAATACTACTATTCAGGGCACATTAGGTCATTTTAAAATTAGGTTGGGTTGAGGAGAAACGAACTAATGTTAGCCCAATATTGCTAAAAAAAAAATCTGTTGTTCTGGGGAACGTTAGTTAGCTAAGTTTGTCATTCCAACTGTCAGTCACTTTAACATTGCCAAGTATTCGACACGGCTGTGTCAGGTTGGACATTTTAATTGTTGTTAAAAGTTCATTTCATTCCAAATGATCTCCGACTTGTGAACTGTAAGGATTTAAGGGAAGAGTGGAGCCCCAAGGATACAACAGTTTACTGTTGCTAACACTACTAGCAACAAGCATAGCCCTTAATGTTGGTACTTCAGTGAGGACACTAGCGAACTTGCTGTTTAATATGTTGACTCTAACTAGGACTTGCAGGCAGTGACAGCTAATCCGCATTCTTTCACCACTTTCCTAGGTGTTGTCAGTTAGCTGGCCTTGAATGGCAGGCTGACTACATGCACACCACGCCGGCTATCCACGTCACTACAGTGCGGGGCTACAGCGGCCCGTCCTGCCATGGCTAACTTAAAATGGCGGTGAATGCTAGCTGGCTGGCTAGCAGCGAAATTCGCTTGAGGGAGTGTGAAATCATGTCAGTCAGGTAATTCCTCACCACTGGTCGCTGGACATTACACCACGTCAAGAAATCAGAATTCACCTACCTTTAAATCTGAGGTCGGAGGGAGGGTCAAGGATAAGGACTTGGTCCAACTTTGACATTTTAGCTGAGGGGATGCACTTGATTTCGCGAATAACTGACAAGTGGAATCCTGGATCCCCTTCCACCACTGAGTCAAACGCTGACTGAGCGCTGCGAGCGAGCATGTGGCTACAAATACTGGAACGCGCAAGTGCTCAACCCTGTTGCGCGCCCTCGTGGCTCAGCAAATAATGTGATTATGGTCGGGTAAACTAATTAGAATGAGTGTACGTTAAAATGTTTGGCAGGAAAAACACCTTATAAAATTCCACGAATCCCCATTTGACCCCCATCTTGTTAAGCATGAATTACTTGACCTGTGTTTGTCTGCAGCAATGAGGATGTTTCTTCCAACCACAAAAATCACAACAATGCACAACATGCGGAACCTTTTCACTTTGAAATGCTTCCCTACATTTAAAATCACACGTTGCTTCGTAACAATATTGGGCTGGAACCGCTTTACAACTATCAATGAAATAAAACTTTTTCAAGGGGAAAGTTTAGAAACTAAGGTTTAAATTTCCTGAAAAAAAAAAAAAAATCATAAAATTGTACAACTAGAGCTAAAAGAGAATGGAGGCTGGATCATTAGTGCTGGATATGTAACTGTTTCCAAATAAGTTTACCTTATCAATTTAGGTGCTATACTGTGTGCACAACCTGTTTCTGCTGTCTAGCAAAAAATAATCTGTTACTGGAGGTTTTTTTTGTTTGGTGACTTCAGCATGTAGTGACATGGCACATTAGTATTGATTCTCACAATAGGATACAGCACATTGGTGAAGCCTTCACCAAAGTGCTTCCCTTTCTGCCTGCTGTGTCTTCACTACTTTGATCACTGTCAACCCTTAAGTCTTCAAATTAATGAATTTTATTCATTTTCATGCACTTTTGCTTTTCTTTTCCAACACTGATGGTTCATCAGATTCAGCGTCCCACCTTCCAGCATATGGACTGAGTTCTTTCTGTAACTGTATTAAACATTAACTCATTTAGTAGTTTTTTTCATAACTGCCTTTTTTTTGGTCCACGCCACAATGGGAGATGTGGCAGTTAGTCATTCTGATTTAATGAAAATGTAGAAATCATGATGCATTTTTCACTGTCTACCCGTTTACCTGAATAATAATAATGCCTTAGCATTCCGTTTAATGCACTTTCATTAAAACCACACCATACCCCTCACAAACTATGGTGTACGGCTGTGGGTTCAATTTAACTGCTGCAGGTAGAATATTGATCGTGTCCACAACTGTCTTTCTGACCCTTTAATCTTCAAAATGTCAGCACATACATCTGCCTTTTTCTGCCATCACCTCTCATATCTTTCACTACTGTTGGTGAAATGACCCTAACAGCACCATTCATAAGCTGTAAAGGATTTTTAAAGCAGAACATATTTGCACATCATTCTAAAGTACCCCTGCTTCTCTGTCCTCACTCAAAACATATTTGAGTTTCATGACTGTTTATACTCTTTAAATGACATATACCAATGTCTGTATGTGTGTGTTTAATGCTCTGCTGTCATCTAACTTTCCTGTTATTTGTGTAATTCACAAATCTTTAGACTGTAATTCATTTAACTTTATATTGCATACTATATGACTGTAATGTTCCCCTGTCCCTCCACTCTGCTACCCCATGTTGCCTTAAAATATTCCTTTAAAACACACTGTTCTGCCTTAATTATACAAGAGTCCTGGCTGCTCACACTGCTCGTTCTGCTGCTAGTACCACTGAATAGGATCATACTGATCACCAGGGGCAGCTCCAGGATCAGCTTCCTACCACTAGAGATGATCAGGTAGATCATAAGAGTGCAGTCCACCTTGATGTTGTCAGTTGCAGTCTCAGGATTCTGATGGTCATCCCCTGCCACATGTCGAACATCCTGGAGATAATGTGATTTCCTTCACCCGCTCACAATTTCCGAAACAACACCTTGGTCCAGTTGCCAGCAACGTACAAGTGTTTGGTGAAGATGGTGTCCTTCAGCATCATAAGGGAGAATATGTTTTCAAAGTTCCCGTTGATGATTATGTCTTTGTCCTCGCACATTCCCTTCCTGTTGATTTGAATGGTGATGAGATGGTGGAGTGAGGGGATGAACATGCAGGTTACTTTCCTCAGTTTGGAGCATGCAGCTTGAGCGCACGGATACTCCATCGTGCCATAGAGGCCATGATTGTCCACTTTCAGTCCTAAGCATAAGCTCAATTCGATTTTTAAGAATTCACACTCTCTCAAAGACTCCCAGTGTGCTAATAATAATGATATTATTATTACAATCATTATAAATAAATAAATAATAAGTGCATCTCACTATACTCAGTAATGTGTACTCACTTCTAATGTTCTAACTGCTTTCCTTTACATTCATGGACCCGAAGTAATGAGGCTGACTTTAAATTTTTCTATAATAATTATTTCCTCTATGCATTCTAGGTAAAGACCCCTGGTTGGTGCTGGACACTGCCAGCTGCTATTTTGTATGTGTACACTGAGATCAAAATTAGAGAACAAACTACAATTTCCTAAATGTCAAGGTCACTGCGTAGTCCTGTTTGAAATTATCCAAACAGGAGTAAAAGAGCAATATTTTAAGTATTTTTCACAAGTTACTTATATTCTGGCAGCCTAACTTTCCAGTTTTCACTGACTCTGCAGGATGGTGAGCTGTTCTAAACTAACTGAAACCTTCCAGCTGCAGGTTGTCCAGGTGAAGGCCAAAGGGATGACCCTATCAGCCACAGCAAGAGAAGCTGGTCGTTCTAGAGCTGTGATTTCAAGAATATTGCATCAATACAATGTCACAAACTTATTCAAGTCTTCCAAGAAGGCTTGTCGTCCATGAAAGACAAATGCAAGAGAGGACAGGATAATGCAGTGGATCTCAATGAGCAATCGGTTCAACACTGCAGCTGGAATTGCTCACCAGCTCAGTGCTGAACAGGGGAAGGATCTGTCTCGTCATACTGTGCCTCGGCGTTTAAGAGCATCTAAACTGTAAGCCCACTCTGCAGTGACCAAACTTCTCATTAGCAGAAATAATCAAAAGGCTAGACTAGCCTTTGATGAGGAGCATGTTGTGTGGACAGAGGAGAACTGGTCCAAAGTTCACTTCAGTGATGAAAGCAAGTTTCATTTATTTGGGTCTGATGGGAAACATTATGTTCGTCGTCAAACTGGGGAAAGACTGAACCCAAACTGTGTAAAGATGTCAGTGAAAAGTGGAGGAGGAAGTGTCATGGTCTGGGAACTGTTTTTCTGCAGCAGGTGTTAGGCCTCTTCTACAGCTACATGGCAAAGTGAATGCAGATGTTTATCAGAACCTTCTTCAACAACATGTGGTTCCTCCCAGCATTCATCACCCGTTCAGCCAGCAATTTTTATGCAGGACAATGTCACACAGCAAAATGGGTAAAGCAGGTCCTTGAAAGTGAAAACACTGAAATAATGAAATGGCCAGCCCAGACTCTTGATCTAAACCCAACAGAACCTCTGGAAAAACCTGTGTGACAAAGTTATGGCCAAGATACCCACTACAGTCATCGATCTATGGAAGAGACTGGAAGAAAAGTGGACCAAAAATCACATGAGAGCAGTGTGAGACACCAGTGATGTCTGTGGCCGCAGATGTGCTAAAGTCATTCAAAGCAACGTCCTGTACACTTCTAATTGTTGACTGCTGCAACCTTCAGAAAATGTAGTTGTAACCTTTCTCTGTGCTACAGTCAGTATTCTCTAATTTTGATCATTGTGTTTTCCAAAAAAATAAAGGGTTTTTGGTGAAGTGCCTAGGTCATTTTGTAACCCACTGTTCTAGTAGCATGGTATAGCCATAACAAAAAATCCTTCAACTGTTGAGCAATAAATTTTACATTATTTCTATCAAGTGTTCATAAATTGTTCTCTGATTTTGTTCTCCGGTGTATGTGTATGAGATTTTGAAGTCACGAAGGTGCCAACATTTGGCCCTCAACTTAGAAACAAACACAAGGTGTAAAACAAGTCTTTTGTTGTTGTTCTTCTGTGTTCTGTGCATTTGTGCAAGAGGCTCATCAGATAATTCATAAATATTCAAGAATAAGAGTCATGCTACTGTATACTGCCTACTACATCATTGCAATATGTCTCTGGTCCTTCAAACTGCTCCCATTCAGACTGAATATTCTTTTTGTGTGCAATGTTCTAACTCCTGTCTTCTTACGCTCAGTTAAGCTGACTGTAAATGCACTTCTTTATACACATTCCTGTACACATTCTAAACAGTGACCACCAGATGGTGCTGGACCACCTGTGTTTTTCCATCTCTTTTGCTCCATCTGTGTTTGTGAATTTAGGATTCAGTTGACATGGATTTGCTTTGTTCTGTTATGGACTTTGTCAGAGTTAATTTCTGGATATCCTGCTGCTTTTCGTTTGTTTCCCTGCCAGCTTTTGTTCCACTGTCTCAGTAAGGTTATGTAAGGTTACTTTGATTTCACCTGCCTCAAAAACATTGTCATGTTTGTCTACATAGCTGTGGCCCTCAACCTTGAGCAGAGTCCCTAACAAATTCAGTGATTCTTCTGTTTAATACAAGGCAACCCACTGAAATTAGGTCAGTCACCTTTCAATTGGTGCACCTGGGTTGTACTACGAAGCAAGTTCAATGTAGCCAGACTTTCATTGGGTTACTTGGCTTGGCAAAATCTAAAACCAACAGTGGTTATCAGCTTTTTTCATTTACTCAGGACTTTTTCTTCCTGTGCATACTCATATAATGAGGCACTTGCCTGATATTTGATTCTTTTTTTGGCAAAAAATGGAACATGCTGCCTACTACATTCAAGAGAAACAGGTTGTCATAAGAACTATGAGGAATATAACAATGTATTTCAGTAAAGAGCACTGTCACAGCAAATGATGCAAGAGAGGAATGCTGGTAGAAAACTATCAGTTGGGTAGGTTAGTGTATTTATTTTACCACTCAGTGACTCAGTGCAGCCGTTTATTTGTAATGTGACAGCTTCACATTACAGCGAATGAACTTTAAACTTTATACATTTAAACATAATACTCAACAAATGCATTTAGGTCTGACAAAGTCCCATAATGCAGCGTTACCAGTGTAAAACTGACTTGGCAGCAAATCAGGTCCCAAAAAACCCCCACACATTTATGCAATTTCTGCATTACTAACTGAATAGAATGGGTGTATAACAATGAATGAGTAAATAAGACAACAAAAGTGAACGTTTTGAGAGTCTTGCCTATCCCAGACGTTCATTCCACAAAACTGTGCTGTACATACACAGTAGTACAGGCAAGATGAGAGAGCGTTTCTTCAGGATCATTTAATAAGTAAGTTTTGCAGAATGAACATCTGGGATAGAGAATACACTCAATGTTCACTCTCGCTGTCTCCTGAAGGGGCCGCTGCATCCATGCGCGCCGCCGTTATTAAATTATTTATTCTTATAATTTACAATTATTATTTCAATAATATAAAATGTGGCCTCTGTGGTGTTTCTATTATAAATCCTTAGCCCCAGGGCCAGATATTGGACATGCTACCCTGCCTAATTTTGAATTTAATATTTATCTTTAATCCATTTCCAGCACAAATGTCTATGTTTTTAAATGCTTAGTTTTGGTCAATTTATTATTGCCATTTTCATGCTCTTCAATAACATTTCTCTACCTCAAAAGGTCAGTTTCATAATTGAGTCCTTTGAATTCCCTCACACACATTGACTTGAAAACATTTTTTTTTTCCTTCATGTTCATCATATTTAAAGATATTAGGAAGCAATGGCAGGCTTGTAAATACTTAAGTTTAATTTTATGCTCCTAAACAATGTCTCAACCTGAAAAGTCTAGTTTTGTCTCTGTGAATTCCCTGACACAAAGTGACAAGAAACAGAGATCGCCTTAATACATACTATATTTGAACACCTTCTGGGAAAAAAAAAAACTTGCTCATCAACCTTTAGCTAAAAAAAAAAGAAAGAAATACAGCGTTGTTGATTATCATGCTCTCAAAGCGTTTTTCAACCTAGAACAACCAGTTTGTCATTCAAGATTCAAGATTCTTAAGGTTCTGTTCTTCGTATGCAAACAGTATGTGCAGGAAATGCAAAGTGGCTGTTCCTGACCATGGTGCAACAACAATAAGACCTAAGTTGTCTAGTGTGTCACGTGAAGTCCCTGTGACAGTGACTTGAAACCGCTTTTGTTCATTGTTATCATATTTCAACATATTCTGAAGCAAGAACTTGTATGTCAACCGTTAGTTTCAAAAACTACAGTGTTTCTCTTTATTATACTCTCTCAGCTTGGAAAGCACAGTTTAGTCAAATAATGTGTCTTGTAAATGTTTTTTTGTTTTTTTTGTGACAAGGAATTCCCTGACACAAAGTGTCTTAAATCAGCTGCAAACCCATGAAGCCTGGCTTTTAAGCTCCAGGTTGATTGCTTTGTGGCCACAGGAACACGTCCCCACTCACATACAGCCTGGTGCTCAGGGCCTGTAGCCTGGAATGAAAAACACACATGGAGCATTGTGAAGTAAAAGTCTCTGAAAATAGATAAATGTAGCAATATGAAACAGCAGCGCTCTGAAATAAATAATACCTTATTCATTTATTTACTATTAAATTAAAATCCATTTCAAAGGCACAGCAGTTGTGTGTTAACCTCTGCTTTTAACCACTAGATGACACTATAACTCTGCGTCTGTCTGACCCAAACAACCTTCGAATTTGGTTTTGAAAATATCAACTCACCTTCTACTACTGTGTTTAGTTATGTATGTTTTTGTTTGTTTGTTTGTTTGACAATGAAATGAGCACACCAGTGTATGCAACCACCAGAACAAATTGAGGGTTTATTTTCAATTTAACCTCCCTGTCTGATATTACATTCAATACATTTGAGGTTCTTGTAATGAAACTACTTCCGTCAGGTAAGAACTGCTTTCTCCAAGATAATAGACTACTGTCATTCCACTTTGTGGTAATCCATAGCTCGCCTGGCCTAGCCCTTTTTTTCAGCAATAAACTGAACTAGATGTGCAATCATCTTCTGGGATTTCCTGATTCTTTTTGTTTTAGTAAATAATCAACCTATGTTCATTTTGACATATCAGCTTAAAATATAAGGTGTAAGACCCAATATGGATA